CTTAACAAATTAGAATACTTCATAAGACCAATAAAAAAACATTTTTAGTGAATTGTTGGCCTTCTGGAAAGTATGTTAATTTACTGTACATGTACTCAATACTTGGTAGGGCCTCCTTTTGCTTTAATTACTGCCTCAATTCGTCGTGACATGGAGGTGATCAGTTTGTGGCACTGCTGAGGTGATATGGAAGCCCATATTTTTACACTAAACTTTTGTGGGTATCTGCTTTGAACATTTTATGAATACTATAATATAATAAAATATTATAATAAATATTTATTAAGATTACAAGATTCATAACTAAGAATCTGGAGTTTATATTATCTGTTGAATGTTTTTCAACAGATAATATAAAATTATAAATGAATAAATGAAATAAATGAACTTTTCCACGAAATTCTAATTTATTGAGATGCACCTGTATTATCAACCTTGCTTAAGGATACAGCAACAAAAATGTCCTTCGGTAATTGTTCTTGTAGGCCTCACAGAAAGTAAATACGAAACCTAAGCAATAAACTGTCAACACATAAATGAAACAAAAATGGAGAAGGTCTTTGATGTCTCATACTGTATCTAAAAAGCTATTATGTACATACATTTCTTAAAGGAACAGTTGATTTGAAAAATTTCCTGAAAAGTTACTTACCCTCAGGCCATCCAAGATGTAGATGAGTTTGTTTCTTTATTTAGAAATTTAGCATTACATCACTTTCTCACCAATGGATCCTCTAAAGTGAATGGGTGCCGTCAGAATGAGAGTCCAAACAGCTGATAAAAACATCACAATAATCCACAAGTTATCCACATCACTCCAGTCCATGAATTAACATCTTGTGAAGTGAAAAGCTGCATTTTTGTAAGAAACAATCCATCCTTAAGGCGTTTTCTGGCCAAAATACAAGTTCATAATCCATAATAATGTTTCCTCCAGTGAAAACATCCATCCCCTAATGAATAGAAGACTGAAGCAACGGTTTGAAGTTAAAATAGTCTTGATGGATTTGTTTATTATAAACAGTTTAGCTTTTCCCTTAACAAGATGTTAATTGATGGACTGGAGTCATGTTGTGGATGTTGAGGATTTTTTTATCAGGTGATTGAACTCTCTGACAGCACCCATTCACCCATTCAAAGCAAAAAAGGTTAACACCAGTGAACTAGCCCAGTTGGATGCGTAAAAGTAGCAAGGCGGTGTGCTGCAACACCGCTAGTGAGCAAAGACAGGAAGGGCCCACTTGCAGCTCAGTCGGCGAACTGGCGCGCATGCGCAGTTCATCCCTGGGTTTTAACCACGAGAGATGGGATACAGACTAGAGGTCTGCCTCTCTCTCAACCTGATTTTTTGTGCCGCGGGATTAAATTCCCGAATAAAACGCGGTAGTGGTCGGTAACTCTGGTGTAATTTGAACGGGAGCGGGCGGTCTAACAATATCCCGTTCCCGACGTCCATTTAGAACAGCATATCTGCGCTTTATTCTTATTGACCACCGATACAGCTTGCGCTCAGGACTGTTATGCACGCGCTGCACTCATGCTTTAAACGTCACGCGTTTTATTTGCCTGGTCTGTGCGCAGCATGTGCATAATGATGCTCAGAGCAGGCTGTACCTGTGGTAAATATACGGCCCTCAGACAGAACAGGCAGGTTGTCGATGAGTGACAGAGCAGAATAAGGATGGAGCAAAGTGTGGCTGCGCTGTCCTTGAAGGACGTTCAACTCCGTTTTGTTTATATTTTGCTTAATCTATAGTTTTATATGAAAAATGTCTTATTTCTTTTTCTCTGTGACACTTTTCCTACTGTGTTAACAGAAAAATGTCAAACGAATTTAGTATTTTGACAAGACGAATAAAAATAGCTAATAGGCTATTTTTGTACAACCTACATTTATTTATTTTTTTTCCCCTATTGTCAATGTTAAACGAATTTTATCCTGACAAGACAAATAAAAATAATACAAATTTTGTTCAACGTTTTTTCTCTGACACTTTTTTTTGCCTACTGTGTTGCATAAAATATTAAACGATTTTTGTGTCTTAAGATAATTCGTCAAAGTCAAAGTCCATAAATTCAAGACTCTTGACAAAACGAATAAAATAACATACAATTTTGTGCAGACTACATTTTAATTTGTCATCCTATCTCTCTTTCTTTCAGTAGCGGAAATTTAAATGTGAGATTCTGGAAACGAGATCTAAATTTAGCGGGAACGGTCGGGTTGGAAAATTTGAAAATTATTCTAAGCGGACAGCGGGTGAACAAAGAGTGACTATATAGCGGGAGCGGATGGGTGCGGAATAGAACCTTGCGGGAGTGGGACTAAAAAACAGTCCTGCGCAGACCTCTAATACAGACTTCAATTCGCTGTAAAACCTCCTGTGTTCAATGGAGTGGTAATTTCAGTGGCCCAAGGGGAAGCAGCTCAGGTTTTAGAGGAAGAAATATCCTTTTTAATGAGAAAAGGAGTGATAAGAGTGATTCCAATGATAGAAAGCCACATAGGCTTCTACTCCTGTTATTTTGGGATTCCCAAAAGAGGGGGAGATCTCCGTCCCATTTTGGATTTACGGGTCCTCAACAAACACGTCAGAAAATACAAATTCAAAATGCTTTTGCTCAGAACTTTGTGTCAAAGTATTCGTCAGGGAGATTGGTTCACCTCAGTGGACCTCCAGGACGCATATTTTCACAAAGATATATTTCCTGCTCACAGGAAATATCTGAGGTTCACTTATCAGGGCACAGCATACGAGTATACAAAAATCCCCTTTGGCCTTGCTTTAGCTCCCAGGGTTTTCAGCAAATGTGTGGAACGCCGTTAAGGAACGGAAGGGTCAGAGTTTCATCATATCTGGACGATCTGCTCATCTGTGCGCTGTCCCCGTGGCAAGCAGAGAGTGATACATACACACTAGTGACGCATATGGAGACATTAGGTTTCAAGATAAACCAGACAAAGAGTTGGCTAACTCCTTCACAGGAAGTAGTCTACATGGGTCTCCGGTTGAATTCAGTGATGTTTAGAGCTTTCCTATCAGAGGAACGCATCAAGACATTTCACAGCTGCCTCTCCCTTTTTCAACGAGGGAGATCAGTCTCTTTCAGAATGTGTCTTCGGCTACTGGGTCTGATGGCCTCAACAATGTCAGTGGTTCCCCTGGGACTGCTGCGGATGAGGTATTTTCAGAACTGGACAGCATCACAGGGCATTCGCCCCAAGAGCCGTCTCAGCCGCAGAGTCCGCGTCTCACCAGAATGCATGAGCGCTCTCCATCATTGGAGAGACCCATCTTTTCTCAGGACAGGATACCCTCTGGGTCCTATTGTGTTGAGGAAAGTGGTGACGACAAATGCATCTCTCACGGGCTGGGGGGCGGTGTTCGAGGGCAGAACAGTGAGAGGAGTTTGGTCTCCTGCACTGAGAGAGAAGCACATACATTTTCTAGAACTACTGACAGTGTTACTAGCTCTGAGACATTTTGTGCATTTTCTCAAGAATCATCATGTATTGGTCAGGACGGACAATACAACAGTGATAGCCTACATAAATCGGCAGGGAGGAGTACGTTCTCACAAGCTTCACTTGTTAGCAAAAGAACTGATTATGTGGAGCAGCAGGGCCCTCCTGTCATTACGATCGACACATGTTCTAGGAATAATGAACAGGGGAGCAGATTTACTGTTCAGAGGGAATCCTCTGTACGGGGAGTGGAGACTCCACCCCCAAGTGATCCTCATAATGTGGCAGAGATTCGGCCGGGCCACCGTAGATCTCTTCACATCACGCGAAGACGCACAATGTCCCCTGTTCTTCTCTCTGGCGATGAACCGTTGAGTGTGGATGCTCTAGCCTACGAGTGTATACTTTACACGTTCCCTCCGTTGAGCCTGATCGAGCCAACACTACGGAGGGTTTGGGAATACAAACATGTAATGATTCTGATCACGCCATACTGGCCGGGGAGACTGTGGGTTGCAGAGATTGCGCAACTGCTCTACGACCAGCCATGGCCGTCACCAGCACACAGCTAGTCACCAGCACACTAATCTACTCAAATCTTTACCCCTTTCTCAAATCGAGCCGATCTCAGATTCCTGTTTGTTTAACGTCATACAGACAGGCCCCTCCCACGATAGTTTGATTGACAGTAGCGTTTCAGCACAGACTGGACTGGCGTCTTACCTCAGACCCGCCCTGAGTGAGCTGTCATCAGTCCGCCATTGTTTCACCGCTGAAGCAGTTGTAGACAAGAATGACTCCTAAGCGATTGAGGTCTTCTATTGTTGGATGTAATAATGAACATAGCAGTCTTCATTTACTCCAGACATCTGAGCCGCTGAAGATGCAGTGGATTATGTTTGTTTTTGAAGGGAATGTGCCCCGATCTACATTAAATGCATCTATGTTCGCGCGAATCATTCGTGATCCAGCTTCACCTACAGAAGAAGTGAGTGTAAGGTTTTTTTTTAACGAATCTTTGCAAATCGTCTTTCCTAATAATGTGAAATTATCAACTTGTGGAAAATGGGCATCCTATGACCCCTTTAAGGTTTATCTGTCCACTATCTCGGCATGTCATGTTGGTCTTAACTTGGGTACTATTGGCCAACACCCTCTCGTCTGTCGATTTATGAGAGGGGCACGTAGGCTACACCCAGTATCGAAGCTGCTGGTCCCATCTTGGGATTTGTCTGTGGTTCTGAACACGCTCTCAAAAGCCCCTTTCAAGCCCATTGATAACATTGCCTTGAAGCTACTCGCTTTTAAGACGGCTCTGTTACTTGCTCTCACTACAGCAAAAAGAGTGAGTGAACTACATGCTTTATCAGTTCACTCCTCATGTATGATGTTCGCTCCGGGTGGTCAAAAAGTAACTTTTAGAACTAACCCAGTGTTTGTGCCTAAAGTGTTTGATCACGTTGGTACAGTTCAATCAGTGGACCTGCTAGCTTTTCATCCACCACTTTTTCATTCTCAGAGGAGGAGAGGTTACACAGTTTATGTCCAGTTCGTACTCTGTATACGTATGTTCAGAGAACCCACACTCTTCGTAAGAGCAATCAGCTATTTGTCTCGTGGGCTGACTCTTACAAAGGAAAAACTATCTCCCGTCAATGCCTTTCTCACTGGGTGGTGGAGGCTATTGTGTTATGTTACAATGCGAATATAGAGCCCCCAGTAGGAGTACGAGCACACTCTACTAGAGGTATGGCTACATCCTGGGCTCTGTTTAGAGGCATTTCTATTCAAGAAATTTGCGCAGCAGCCAGCTGGTCTTCTCCGCACGCATTTGCTCGTTTATAGACTGGATGCGATAGAACCCTCTCTGGCTCACTCAGTCCTGAGAGTGAGTAGTCAGGTTGTATAATGCATTTTTATTAAGGGGCGAATTCCTCATATTATTCTGTTTTCACCTCCGTCGGGAGCTATGATTCAGATAATAACCCACTCATTCTTTAGTCTGCTTCGTCAGCATATCGGCAATACAGGTGTTGTATATATCCTATAGTGAGATACCGAACGAATGTTAGAAAGAGAATGGTAGGTTACTGACGTAACCCCAGTTCTCTGATAACATGAAGTGAGGTATCTCACAAACATTGCCCTCCTTGCCTGTCCTGCATGGAGGAGAGATATGCGGAGAATGACGAAGCGGCAGGTAGCTGCGGTTTATATACAGGGAGGTGGAACTCCCTGATCGCGATGTGGTGTTATTGATAGAGATACCTCAGTTATCAGAGAACCAGGGTTACGTCAGTAAGCTAATGTTCTGTGATCAGCAGTAAATATCCATCCTAAGGCCAGAGGGCGCTCTCACGCGGAAACTCCAATTACGCCCCGTAGAAGAAACCCAGGAAATGCCTGCAGCGGTTGCTGAATAAACAGAAGATTTAACTGCTTCATTAATTCAACGTGACTAATAAACACACGACTACAACAATATATGGTTTATGTATTCTGAATAAAATATTGAAATTTGAAACTTCCACATCATTGCATTCTGTTTTTATTCACAATTTGTACAGTGTCCCAACTGTTTTGGAATCGGGTTTGTATATAATAATGCAATGCTAATCGACATAGACTTTATCACTGCTTAGAATACTATGAAATCTGTTGCGTGCCATATTCTGTGTAAGAAGACACATCATCTCACAGAAAGATTGATTTCAAACACTCGACTGACGTTATGAAGTGAGTTTGGAGTAAAAACATGTCATTAAATGTGGTATTTTGCATGTGCTTTCAGATGGAGCAGCATTTACTACACAGAGCCGTAGTTCACTGACAGGCTACACAAATAGATTTCATAATCGCAGAATGATTTCTTCTATTTCATAATCGCGCGATTAAATCATCTGCGATTATGAACGCGATTCTGCGTAGCTTGTCAGTGAACAACAGCTCTGTGTAGTAAATGCTGCTCCATCTGAAAGCACGTGCTGGAGATTTACTACTAATCACAGAACCGGCTTTACTGAAAAGATACGCATGACAATCACGTTTTTATGCTGTTGTCTATCAGCTGTGTAATATTATGGCTTTCCTCTAGGTGTTTTAGGCTCAATTATCCACTATCCAGCCCATCATCTTGAAGTACCATTGGACGGACAGAGCCAAAAGAACATCTCAAGTCCTTGCTAAAGGGTCCCTATTAGCAATCACCTAACCTGCGTGACCACATTGTTGTGAAAAAAGTCAACTCTTTGTCATGATTTCAGAAGTCTTAGACTGATTTGAAAGTTCAGTAATAAAATTATTCCAATTTATATCCACTATATATAAAGATGTTTTTGCTAGAAATTATTTTGAAAGCTTAATTTTTTTAATTGTTAATATGGAATGCATAACATACTGTTGCAGAATGTTTTTGTACAGAGTTTAACAACAATTTATGTGCCTCCAAAAAGCAGTTTAAGATTTTATGTTTCTTTTAACTTTAGTTGTGGTTTTTATGCTACTGATATTCTACAATTTATATATATATATTATATAGCACTATCTGATTCATTTTTTTGTGTGTAATGTCAGCTAGACATACTATTTGATGTGAAAAAAAATAGTATGTAACACATCTGATATCATATTTAAAAGCATCTGCTTACCAAGATATTTTGTTGTATCCAACACTGGCATTAATTATATTGCAAATTCATGCAAAAAGATAAAAATCAGCAAATAACCAAATAAAACTTAAAAAAAAAAGATCTCATGATAGAGCTGCTCTTTTATTATTTATTGCACTTATTTATAATAAACATATTATTTATTTTCTGTAATAAAGATAGAATACTTTTATTTAATTAAACTATAATGCTATATAAGTGTTGAATTATATAATAACGTTAAATAAATTGTTTAATAAACCAATACATGTATTAATCATTATTATTACTGTATTATATTATATTATTAATTATAATTGTTGTAATTAATTATCATTATTATTATTTATAATAATAAAGCTAATGCATAAAAAATAAAACCATGTGAAAACTATTTTTGGGCATTACACAAATTCACATTTGTGCATTTGGCTTGTCTGCCTTTCAGATTTTGACTGTGATTCACAGCAGACAGACTTCACTAAGCCAGCTTAATATTTTATTACGGTATTCAGATTCAATATGATAGAACAATATAAACTAGCCTACTAAAAGACATACAAAAGGACGAAAGAATATCAACGACATGTCCCTGTTGAAAAAACCCCAGCATATGCTGGTTAGGTATGTTTTGAAGCATGACTGCTGGGTTGAGCTGGTTTAAGCTGGTCATATGCCGGTATTAAGCTGGTCCTGAGCAGGAGCTAGTTGCTTGGGACCAGCTTGAACTAGCTCAACCCAGCTAAGGACCATCTTTAACCAGCAGCCATGCATCAAAACATACCTAACCAGCATATGCTGGTTTTATCAACAGGGGCAGCATTCATGTAGAGTCTTTAATTATTACAAGGGGCTTTGATGTTGCTATTTATTCATATATGAATGGCTCAGTAAGCACTATAGAGGACAAGTTACATTTACAGAATGTACTATTGAACTACACTTAACCTTGGTCAAGAGAGGGGGAATGTTGTCGTGTCAAATTGCCTCTTTTTTCTCTCACATTGCATCACTTCCCTTGCGGTAGGTTGTGTTTCTGCCGGAAGAGTGTGCTGGCAAGTTCTGGGATATTTTCTTATAGTTATCAAAATGACATAATTTGAAAGTACCTGCACATTTTCACTTATATATCCTGATAGTCCCATAACGTTTGTCTAGTCAAATAGTATGTTTCTAGTGCTTTATGAGTGTCGGATCGATATTACAAGATGTTACATCACGCGAGTTTCCACACGGACATTTTATTGGCTGGACAGTAACAGCTCATACAGAAACAAAACCGATTAGCAACATCAGTCTATGAAATTCTGCTCGCATTGGCTTCTGCATAAGTTTTCTCTTCATTATTGTTATTTGAAGACTTACACGAGAAGATGGGAGTGCCTAAATTTTATCGATGGATATCGGAGCGGTATCCGTGTCTGAGTGAAGTTGTCAAAGAGCATCAGGTGAGCTAGTTTGGCTAAATATAACAGGCCGCATTGAGATAATTTACAGCTCTGAGAACAGAAGCTCAAACCATACACTTAACAGACACCAAAACCTTCGTTTTATTGTCCCTCCACCGTGAATATGTTCGGTATAGAGGGGAATTTTATCTTTATGATTTAGCGACATTACTTCTATAATGTACATAATAGTGACTGCGTCTCAAAATGTAATGAGCTGTCTACCTAGACGGCACTTTACGCATCGTAGGTGATTTCAAACGAGCTATCATCGTAATTATCCGACCAGCTGTGATGAGAACCACAAGCTCAAACAGTAGCAGGTGATTTAAGTACCCAATCAGCAACATTTCTGACCATTATTCGGAACGCCCCTAGGTACCCTAGCTTGGCAGCCCACTAGAGAGAGTGATTTTACTAGATGCTGTTTAACGTTTGTCACAAGATTTACACTTGGTTATTTATTGAAAGGTGAAGAACCACCATCATGCTTTCCTTGTCAGAATGACTGTTAAACATATTTTGCTATACTGCACTGTTTTAAATATTAATAGACAACGTTTTTATTCAGAGATATGTTTGACTGATGTAATTATCAGCTGAATGTACTTTAGAATTATTGACTTAATTATCAATCTTAAATAATTTATCTTGCTTTTTGTTAATTGTATGACTCCTGTTACTCGCATTGTTCTTGCCATGAAGGTGCCTTGCTGCTTATATGGCAATAAATAAATTATAATAAATCATACTAAAAAAAACAACTTTGTTTTAGTAATTTTATGTGTTTTTGTCATTTTTTAAAAGTTTATATATATATATATATATATATATGAATTTTATTTTAGTTTTAGAAATGTTAGAACTTCAATGTAAATGTATTTATTTTGCTTGGTTGCAAAGGCAGCATTTGTCTTTTTTTTTTTTGTGTGTGTTTTTCATCTAATAATTATAATAAATAATATTTTATTTCAGATTTATTTCAATTACCAAAAACATTTTCTATGAGTTTTAAATGAAAGCTTTTAATTTAAACTAAACACTGTATATGATACCAGTGTAATAGGCGCATTGTATTGACTTTACTTGTTATGCATTTCGTTATCTTAAAAGTTGCATTCCTGAGTATTTTTTTTTTAAACACTACTCCTTAGAATTTTTTTTTTCTGACACATTAGTCATATGTTGTCAAGTTTACGTTAACCAACTTGTGTTCTCTCTTTCATCCCAGATTCCAGAGTTTGACAACCTATATTTAGATATGAATGGGATCATCCACCAGTGTTCCCACCCCAATGATGAAGATGTACACTTCCGTATTTCTGAAGAGAAGATCTTTGCTGACATTTTTCACTACCTGGAGGTGCTCTTCCGCATCATTAAGCCCAGGAAAGTGTTCTTCATGGCTGTCGATGGTGTTGCACCCAGGGCCAAGATGAACCAGCAGCGTGGAAGAAGATTCAGGTATAGCAGAAGACCCGAACATAACATGTACATTGAATTTAGACTGAAATATGGAAGGATTTTTATTTGATGTGTTATGTTAGGTCGTGTATTAATAAGTTATTTCTTGTCTTTTATTATGATAATTCTTTTTGCACTGCTTTTTTTTTATACAAGTGTACAAATAACTGTGTTAGGGGAGATAAACACAACACGCACATTGCCGCTTGAAAGATTACAAATCTTACCAACCCCAAAACGTTGAATGGTAGTGTATCATGAAAAATAATTTTTGAAACACTGAAGTAACTTTATTTTTATGTCCTTTGTGTTTTAAAGGTCAGCAAAAGAAGCTGAGGAAAAAATCAAGAAGGCCTTGGAGAAGGGTGAAGTTTTGCCCACAGAGGCCAGATTTGACTCAAACTGCATCACCCCTGGTTTGTGTGCACCTTTATTGGTCATATACTGTCCTAGTGATGTTATGTACCATTATTTTTCTATCATTTACTATACATGAGAACTTTAAAGGCATACAATTAATCAGTTGGTTAAGGTCTACATTTGACTTTTTAAATCATGTATAGGGTGGTTGTCACTGGCTGTTTGGTGTTTTTTTTAATGGGACTTTTTTTCTGACAAATCCTGATGTAATCTGTTTCTCTTACTTGACCTATGTAGGAACGGATTTCATGGCCAAGCTACAGGAACAGCTTAAATATTTTGTTCACAATAAACTGTCCACAGACAAATCGTGGCAGGGAGTGAATGTGTATTTGTCTGGTCACGAGGTGAGTTACATGACTCCATAGCTTTGTGTCGTGTGTGTGTTTCTGTGAAGTTCTTCCAATTCCCGTTTCTTCTCAGACCCCTGGTGAAGGAGAGCACAAGATCATGGAGTTCATTCGTTCTGAGACCGTCAAACCGGGTCATAACCCAAACACAAGACACTGCCTTTACGGTCTGGATGCCGACCTGGTGAGTACAGTTGTGTATAACACAGAAATTTCGGTCATAGTCATATCAATTATTTTTGTATTTATTTTAAGCGGCCTTTCTCTCTTTTTTTGTAGATAATGCTTGGCTTGACCAGCCATGAGCCTCATTTTTCTCTCCTCAGAGAGGAGGTTCGCTTTGGAGGCAAAAAGTCACAAAAGAGGTTAGTGTGGCATTATTTTCATTGCGTCAAGTTAAAAGATTGTGTTTCTTTATAATGTGTTTTTCTGGTCTGTAGGATAACAGCTCCTGAGGAGACAACCTTTCACCTGCTACATCTTTCCCTTATGAGGGAATACATTGACTATGAGTTTTCCGAGCTCAGGGTGAGAATATATGTCTCTCTCATATGGCATTATAAGCACAAATCTTACTTAAAGCTAAATGAATGACAAAGTTATACTGACTGTCTGGTAATAATTCATGTATTTCCATCAGAATAAGATCTCGTTTGAGTACAACCTGGAGCGGATCATAGACGACTGGGTTCTGATGGGTTTCCTGGTGGGGAATGACTTCATCCCTCATCTTCCTCACCTGCACATCAATCACGATGCACTGCCGCTGCTCTATCGAACTTACATCAGCGTGCTGCCCAATCTGGGGGGTGAGTCAGTCCACCTGCAAATCACAGCGCAGACTTGTGATGGAAGTGTAATGCTGAAATTAGTGCTGATCACTGTCGTCTCCATCAGGCTACCTGAATGAAAATGGTCATCTCAACCTTGCCCACTTTGAGAAGTACCTTGAGAAGTTGTCAGATGTGAGTGTTTGGTATTTTTATTTTATTATGGTATTTGGTATTATTTTATTTTATTTTATTTATTTATTTAAAGACATTAATTTTTGTAAATTTTTTAAGGATGCATTCAATTGATCAAACGTGACAGTAAAGACATTTATAATGTTAGACAGGTTTTTATTTTAAATAAATGCTGTTTTAAATAAGTGTTTCACAGTTTACACAAAATTATTAAGCAGCACAACTGTTTTCAATATTGATAATAAGAAATGTTTCCTGAGCACCAAATCAGCATATTAGACTCTGAAGGCTGTAGAGAAAAATTAAACTTTGTCGTCACATGAATAAATTACATTTTAAAATATATTGAAATAGAAAAGTTATTGAAAAAATATATGTGTGTATGTGTATATATATATATATATATATATATATATATATATATATACATAGTTACATACAGTGTGAAAAGCATGCCATGATAATTCTTAAGATTTTTAATTTTTGTTTGTTTTTTGCATTTATTATTTTCAACATAGTACATTAATGTACCTGATTTAAGAAAAACACACACACAAAATATCAGTCATATCATTTTTTTTAATTTTTTTGTTGAATATTATTTAAAGTCTGGACTTTAGTCTGAAGTCTGGCCCTAGGCACAGTTGATACAGAACACCAGCATGAAATGGATACGAACAAAAATCAAACAGACAAATAGAACTTTAGATTAATTTGATTTGTATATTGATCAAATGAATTAATTACAAAACAAGTGCATATTTGTTCTTTGGAAGCTGGGCTAAATTACTAAAAACACTGTTACGGCATTCCTGACATGGATCAGACCCTTAGTCACCTCTCAGATGCCAAATACAGACAACACTTGTAACATGAAAACCAGAATAGGTGTTGCTTGCTAGCACATGATGGCACTGAGGAAGGGTTAATACACGAAAACAAAAATTTGCAGGTTTTTTTGTACATATTTTTGTGACCTCTGAGCAATAAATGTTATAAGCCTTTTTGGCTGAATTTGGACGATCTCTTTCATCTTCATATAACCAGAATAGATGCACAAGATTTACGAAAACTGAAAAGGAGGTGATTGAAAATCCACCCCGTTCAGCTCTTACTCCATGTCATCACCCTCTTCTCTGTTTGCAGTTTGACCGGGAGCACTTCAGCGAGGTGTTTGTAGATCTGAAGTGGTTTGAGAGTAAGGTGGGGAACAAATACCTGAACGAAGCAGCCGGGCTGGCAGCCGAGGAGGCTGGTGTCAAAGACATGAAGAAGAGTAAGGTGAATATGAGCAGTATGCAGTAAGACAGATGGCACACCCAAGCACACTGTATGAGGTGGTTTTTATTGCTCTCATATCAGAATTTAAAAAAAATTATTCGCATTTAAAATCATCACAAACAATGAGCAGCCTATCCTTGTTTCGGAGAGGGGGTGTTAGAAGTAACCATGTGCTGCCGCCATTGTCTCATGTGAGTCAGGTTCAGTTTTAGTTACCAGGTTCCGGTCTTCTAAATTAATCTGCTGCTGTTTCTGCTTTCACCTCTTTTGTCTCTTTATGAATCGGGCTTTGATGAATGAGCATTTTTTTTGTCTTAGTTGGTCTATAATAAATATTTAAAATAAATAATTAAATTTTTTAACATGGTTTATTTGTCTATGACTTGTCGTCATTCCAAATTAGTATGGTGTATTGTTTTTCTATGCAATGCACAAAAAAAGAACTAGTGATGCATGAAATTTTCGGCAACTGAAAAAATAGGATCTTTGGTATCAGCTGTAAACATTGACTGAAACAGTGTAATTTAAAGGGATAGCTCACCCAAAAATGAAAATTCGTTTGCTCACACTCATATCATTCCAAACCTATATGAATTTATTTCTTCTGCTGAGCACAAAAGAAGATACTTTGAAGAATTTGGGTAACCAAACAGTTGACGGTAGCCATTGACTTCCATTGATTTCCAAGTCAATGGCTACCGTCAGCTGTTTGGTGACCAACATTCTTTAAAATATCTTCTTTTGTGCTTAACAGATGAAACAAACTCATACAGGTTTGGAACAACATCAGGGTGAGTAAATGATAGAATTTTTGAATTTTTCAGTTCATACAACTAATGTGCTATATTTTATGCTTAATGATATATTATTATGTGACAAACAGACTGAAATTTCAGTCATTAATCACTGATGGACCACTACTGAGCAAAGGGTCTGAATACTTAGGACCATGTGATATTTCAGTTTTTCTTTTTTAATAAATCTGCAAAAATGTCAACAATTCTGTGTTTTTCTGTCAATATGGGGTGCTGTGTGTACATTAATGAGGAAAAAAATTAACTTAAATGATTTTAGCAAATGGCTGCAATATAACAAAGAGTGAAAAATTTAAGGGGGTCTGAATACTTTCCGTACCTACTGTATATATATATATATTGTTTTTTTGTTTGTGATCACCAGGAACTCATTATATGGAAAAGATCAATGTGAAAATGTTTCATTTTTTTTTTAAATGTCATCAGTCATTTTCTTAAGTGATCCTTTATTTTTTCAGTCTGCGGATGACTCTTTATGTCTCGCCACTCTTGATGAAGTCAGGGACTCTCACAGCACTCCAGGAAGAGGTACACAAATCCAAACCCCAAGTCCATTACTGTTAATCATTATTCTAGACCAGGGGTGCCCAACCCTGCTCCTGGCGATCGACTGTCCTGCAAAGTTTAGCTCCAACTCTAATCAAAAACACGTGCCTTTAATTTTTAAGTGATCCTGAAGACCCTAATTAGTTGCTTCAGGAGTGTTTGATTAGGGTTGGAGCTGAACTTTGCAGGACAGTCGATCACCAGGAGGAGGGTTGGGCACCCCTGGTCTAGACCTTGACTAGCACTTTATTTTATAATCCTGTGCATGTTCTATGTACAACCCTGAACAAAGCCCTACACCTAACCTTATCAGTGCCAAGTAATAAGTAACCTTATATTACGCAGTACTGTCTTGTGTAAGTACACCGTAAGTCAGGGCTCTACGCTAACTTTTCTTTTTAGGAGCACTTGTGTCAAAATTTACATTCTAATCAATAATCCAAAATTTTATCAAACATTTGCCTTCCCATTACGAGGTGATATTTGACTCCTTAAAGTGATTAACAGTGGAATTTTGTTTTTACCTTTGTAATGGCATTTTTCTAACTTTATTAAAAGTTTGTCATCTTTTGTTAAATTCGTAAAAAATTATATTTTAAGCTTTTTAAAAATTTTAATTAAAACGACAGAATAAGAACAAGTAGAATAAGAAACATAAGTTAAAAATCAAATGAAATCAGTATTAACAAAATTAATTTGTAGAGGTGGCACAGAAGAAGACAGAAGTGGCTTGGTGTACTTTCAGACATTTAATGAGGCTCAGAGGTAGCATGAGTGCAATTAAATCCATAAATTCATGATGAGATTAATGTTTTAAATATAGAAATATTAGATTTAAATAACTGAAAAGATACTTTAAAAATTAAACTAAAACTGCCAGCAGGTGGCGGCAAGTCACTGATTTTTATCACTGAATCATTCATTCAATTGATTCATTCGAACGGCTGAATCATTCAGGAATGAATCAAGTGACTGTATTTATGAATGGGTAATCATGAATCACTGACTCACTAGATTCGTTTAAAAACGCAGTTCATAAATCAGATCAAATTCAGATGTTATAGTCAGACAATGCAAGTCACTTAATATTAAATTCTTGTTTATTGAATTGTATTAAATCGGTATCACATTTGCAAACTCCCTTTAAAATCATTAAAAGATGTCACTCATCTTAGTTCATCGCGAGCTCACATTTATAATCAACGAAGCTCTCTACACTACGCAATGAATCTCTTATTTACACCCTGTCTACACTTTGCTTAAGAAAGGATTCGTGAGATATATCTGTGATACATTACTCAATGCTGCAAAAACACATAGAAACCTTTGAATCGGGTCAGTCGCACTGGTGCTCCTAAAAGTTTTTTCATAGTCGCACGCAGTAGTTGCAAATGCGACTGAAATGGTCGCACTGTAGAGCCCTGCCGTAAGTGCACATACTTTCAAATGAAGTACAACCAGACAATAACACATTTTAAAGCCTTCAGCTTCTAAATAAGGCTTAATATTGTCCACAATGCACTAGAAGGCACAGAGGAAGACGGTGAAGATGATGACATGTTTGAAACAGAGTTTCGACAATACAAGCGCACCTACTACATGACCAAGATGGACGTTGAAGTCGTCTCTGAGTGAGTCTCCATTCATTTTAATTTTGGAAAGGATGGAAGCATGTTTCCTCTGTGTGTCTTAAAGTGAACAGTTCTGTGAAGATGAATTTTTCCTATTTCATCTTGCAGTGAGTTTTTGGCCAATCAGGCTAAATGTTACGTGGAGGGGATCCAGTGGATCTTGCATTACTACTACCATGGAGTTCAGTCTTGGAGCTGGTGAGCTGAGAGAGAGAGTGAAAAAATGTAGTGAATTGTGCTTATAAGTAGGGCTGCGTGATTTGGGAGATGTTTTTTTTTTCTGTTTAAAAATAGCAAAATCCAGGTTTGTTGTGCTTGTTTGTTGGTAATAATAATTACATCTAAATAAAATATGAAAATATTAATATTTCTTATTTTGTTTTTAGTCATTTTTATATTTCACTGTAAAATATATATTTTTTAGGAACAATATAATTTTATTTTAAAATCTTAGTCTTAATCTCTAGCTTATGTTATGACCTTAAAGCTTCTTCTTTTGTTGACAAGTGTTTCTCATTACAAGTATGGGAAGGTGATTGGCCCATTTTGCATTCCTAAATGCACATGAATATTAATACGTGCTTTATTACGATTAATCATGCAGTCCTACTTAAAAGTATCAGGAACATGCATTAAGAAATTCAATTGGGTTGGATTTGATGTAATGTTGGTTTCAAAGGACTTTTCTTTCCTCTCAAATCACTACAGGTATTATCCGTACCACTATGCCCCCTTCCTTTCTGATGTGAGAAACCTCTCTAGTCTCACGTTGGCATTTGATCTGGGCAAACCCTTCATGCCGTTCCAGCAGCTCTTGGGTGTCCTGCCTTCAGCCAGCAAAGACCTTCTTCCACAGTGTTACCAGGTGACACACTCGCTTCATGTTCCCGTCATGTCAATGTTCCTTAGAAACTCTCCCTCATTTATTGACTCTCTGTCCTTCACAGCATCTTATGACGTCACCGGGCTCACCCATCGTTGAGTATTACCCACAAGACTTCAAAACTGACCTGAATGGCAAGCAGCAGGAGTGGGAAGCCGTGGTGCTCATCCCGTTTATCGACGAGGTGCTTTAAACATCTGCATTCACTGTGTTTTTCACCATAACAACTGTGATGGAAGTGCAGTTTCATGATATGATATGGGTTTGCATTCAGAAATGCTTGTTAGCTGCTATGGAGCCCTACACTCTTAAACTGACTCCACCAGAGAAGGCCAGGAACAGACATACCGAGTGTGCCGTCTACTGCTTTGATAAAGAGCTGGACAATGTCTACAACTCCCCCCTCCCCCAGCTCTTCCCCAACATCGTCCACTGCCACGTCAGGTATGTCCTACATGCCACAGTATATTTCACCCACTCACATGTTAACATGGTATCAAACCTGATGATGATGATGATAAATCATGTGCTCAGTTTAATATAGAACACTTTTCACTTTACACTTACAGATAAATGTAATTATTATTATTTCTGCTTATTCTTTGTTTTTATTGTTGTTAAAAATATCGTACCTTCATTTTAATATGGTGTCACATTTCTGTGTTTACCTTTACACTTGGCACTTTATAATTATCAGATAAATTCTAATTAATATTACTAATTATTTTTTATTTAATATTATTAATAAGAATATCTTACTAAAATGAAGGCAAGATATTATTATGGTGTTACAATTTTGTGTTTACCTTTACACTTGGCACTTAGGAATTCTAATTAATATTACTAATTCCTTATTATTTTTATTATTATTACTATTATTATTATTAATAATAATAATAATAATAACAATATCTTAATAATTTCTTGCCTTCATTTTGATATAGCATCACAGTTTTGTATTTATATTTATACTTTTTCACTTTATAATTAACAAACTCTTAATTATTACTTATTTATAATTTTGTTGATATTTATAATGAATAATGTTTTTAGTTTAATATGTTGTCACTTTTGTATTAACATGTATACTTTACCATTCACATCAGTACGCTCTGAACAGTGTCAGCGCTTGATGTATTTGTTGTCTTTGGGAAATAACATCCACCGTGTTTGTTTTTAGGCAAACACCGGTTCCGATGGATGCCTGGCGTGTATCACTGGATCATGTAGTGCACAAGGCTGACAGAGGGGCTCTTTATTTCTGTGGCTTCCCCACCTTACAGCACATCCGTCATAAAGTAAGCAAGCCTCAACCTGCCTGTCTGCAGATTATCGCTTATTATCCCATTAATGGGGATCAGTATCAGATCATACAGGGTTAATGCCGATTTTCCTTCTGTATTTATCACACAGTTTTATAAGAAGAAAACTGGAGTGATGGTGTTTCAACAAAGCAGCAGAGGGGAGAACATGTTACTGGAGATTTTAGCCAGCCAGGAGCTGGAACAGGTGAGCAGTTCGTCCCCTCACACTAAAGGCGCTTTACTTGTAGACTTGATTGTGTGTTACATCTTAATGACTTTTTAGGACTACCTCAGACAATAAACTACATTTTGCAGGGTTTCTACGGGTCTTTAAAAGGCCTAAATCACTCACTTTATGCTTAAAACAAAAACAAACGTGTCAGTGGGGTATGAAAACTTATTTTCCCTTTGGTTTAAGTAGACTATATCTTGATTTGAAGAATATTTAGACATTTGCACTGGAAAGCCTTTGTGGCTTTTTTTTTTTTTTTTTTTTTTTTTTTTTTTTTGGGCAGTGTGATCAGAAGGTAAAGTAAAAGTTATTTTCTATATTCTATTGTTTGGGAGCGGGGACTATATTGACAGATTGTGTTCCCTTCAATTTATTCCTTTTTTTTTTAAACTTGGTCTTAAAAGGTTCTTTATAAAACCTGCTGAAACCTTATTTTCAATGTATGATGTTTTATGGTAATGTGGTAATACGTGTGTCTCTGCATTGCAGATGGAAGATGTCGCAGCGCTGGTTCTTGGAAAGTCTTTGTTTGTGAACTGGCCCCATTTGATGGAAGCTCGAGTTGTAGCTGTTTCAAATGGAGAAATAAAGTTAGTTTGTTTGTTTTATTGATATTTCTAAATTATTTGCTGCCATATGGAGTTATGTAGCTCACTCAAACTCTCTCTTTTAGTCTGTTAATTGTGTCTCACTTCTTACTCTGCAGGTTTTCTTTAGAAGAACCATCACAGGTGTTGTATCTGGGTGACACACCACCGCCTACTAAAGTCACCCATCTGACTGATAAAGAGCAGAAGGAGTGGGTCAAAGAAGTGCAAGGCCTCTCAGAGCAGTATGCTGCCCTTTTTATTCACATTATTTGTCATTTGTAATAATTGTATCAAGAAGACAAAACTGATTCAGTCTCTGATTGTCTGATGTGTTGGACCCAAAAAAGCACTCGTCAAATCGTAAGCTGCAATGTGATTATCTGAGTCTGATACGTGACTTGCATGAGTGAGGTTTTTCAGTGTGGCAGAGGTTTTTGTTTCATTGTGATGTAATGAATGGTCGCTGTGGTCAATTGCACAGTCTCTTCCTGTCAAAGTGGGTGCTTTTTGTTTGGAATAAGCTGCAAATTTGACCATACTTTATGCCTATAGGTTCTAGTATCTGTACGATATAAACTCATTTTTCATCAATCCTTAATCTTAGCTATGCATGTTCAGAGAATAGAAAGCTTTGCATATTTTTAAATTCTGCCAAGTTGAGTATGTATGATAGTTTGTGTGTCCGTATGTAAAATATTACTTTATCTGCATTTCAGCTTCAGCAAGCGCAAAGGCATTGTGATCAATGAGACCGATGTTGTGGTATACGCCCAGCTGCTGACAGGCAGGAAGTATGTCATTGTTCAGAGCGGAAAGGTCCATTTGGAAAAGCAGTTTGCCAAACAGGTCCTGCCCTTTCCATACCAGACTATTGTGAAGGTAAGTAATCACACCAGCCCAAATGTAAACAGGAATTCTAACCAAGATCCTGTTTCTTGGGAAAAATTTGAAGTTGTTCAGATGATTTAAGCATCATGTTGTTGTTTTTTTCACTTCAGGATATCAAAGCTTTTGATTCATCGTTGGCACGCTTCAAGACACTGGAGGAGCTGTTTCCCCCAGGAACCGTTGTCTTTATGGTTGGAAACCCATATTACAGTGCAATGGGAGATGTACGTACTGGTTTTTGTGCTCTCCAGACCAGCTCCAATAGTTAAATGCCAGTTATGAAGGATTTTTTTCTGTTTTCTTAGGTGCAAGATTCTAGTGATGTCATCAATGAGGGGCGGGTCAGAGTGGTCTTCTCTGTACCGTGTGAACCCCAGCTTGATGCCTTAATGCAGAACCAGCATGTAAGTCTTGAGTCTGTCAAGAAGCCTGTGCCCAGTATACATTGCACTATACAATGTTTGACTGGTTTGTTTTTTCTTCAGTTTTCTTGTTTTCACTGTTTTCAGATTTTACCAATAGTCTTTTGTTTTTGTTCAGAAATACTCTGTGAAGTACAGTCCCGGGTACGTGCTTGCCTCCCGCCTTGGTATCATCAGCTACCTCGTCTCACGGTTCTCCGGTAGCATCTTCATTGGAAGAGGATCCAAGAAAAAGTCAGTGGAATTCAAGTTTTGAATAAAACAATGCATGCTTTGTTTAGTTTATATATGATTTATTTCATACTATCAGTGTACTCCCTATACAGTGCCTTGCAAAAGTATTTGTAAAAGTTTTCGTTTTTTATTTTTTATATTGGGTTTACTGTCATTATTTTTATTTAAACGCATTGTATTTTTTTTATTCTGCAACAATGTTATGTATGGTCATCTAGGATTAGTTATCCATCTAAAATCATGATAAATTTCACAGGGATGCACAATATACCAGGATCAGAACAGTTATTGTCTGATATTAGAATTGTTTTTTTTTTGTCTTCTTCTTTTTTTATATACTGGTATCGGTCAATTTTGGATATTTCATTGTACAGCTCACGTCCCCTAGTTTTACATTTAGATTACTTTTGCCATCATCTTACCCCCACTTAAAGTTAATCTTTAAAAACACTAAGAATTTAATAAAGCTGTTAAATTCTTACTGTACATTATAATGTTTGATGCCTAAATTCACTTGCAGCGTTTAAAATGATTTTAGTTTTTAATGTTTGATTTTTAATTCATTCAGACAATATAGTATTGCATTTTATTATCAATAATTTGTCATTATCGGTCATAACATTAAAAATAATTATCAGTATAGGCCATACTTTTAATATTGGTTTATCCACAGAATTTGGGTTTGATTGTTTAACAGTATACATTTTTTCATTAATGAACAATATTAATTTTTTTTGATTGACTTTTAAATTAATCTTGCTCTGTTCAGTCCTCATGGAGAGCAGAAAGCCAATGTGGGCCTTAATCTCAAGTTCAACAAGAAGAATGAGGAAGTTCCTGGCTACACCAAGAGAACGGAGAAAGAGTGGCTCTACTCGGCTGCTGTAGAGGAACTCTTAGCTGAATACTTAGAGAGGTGTGTATTTGTGTTGGCGTTTGTGTGCGTGCTTGCGGTTGTACCTGTGGTTGTGCAGATATTTGAAAAACAATTTTGTCCTTGTCTCTCAGATTTTCAGAGCTGTTTGACTTTGTAGCACGGAACAGTCACGATGACGTCTTTTATGAAGATGACATCTGGCCAGGAGAAGATGAGAATGGGTGTGTTTTGAATCCGTTTTAGACAAGCATTAGTACGTAGAATGCATATCCTTTTGTAATATTACTTTATTATCAGAAGGCAATATATTTTCAGCGTGCCAGACTTTATAATAGTGACCGTTTATCATTGCGATGCTTTAAATAGTGCTGAAAGGGTCCAGGAGATCCAGGGCTGGCTGAAAAACCATCCAGTCAGTTCCTGCTCCCGAGCTTCATGTGATCTGCAGATCCTGGACACTGGCATTGTGGAAAAGATTGAAGAAGAGCTGGAGAAAACGAAGGTGATGATCACATCCAAACCTCAACAATCCCAGTAGTTGTTCCTTATTTAGACATTTTCCCTGGAAAACCTTTTTTGTTTTTTTTTTTTTTTTTTTTTTTTTTTTTTTTTGGGCAGTGTGATCAGAAGGTAAAGTAAAAGTTATTTTCTATATTCTATTGTTTGGGAGCGGGGACTATATTGACAGATTGTGTTCCCTTCAATTTATTCCTTTTTTTTTTAAACTTGGTCTTAAAAGGTTCTTTATTTTTGTTTTTTTTTTTTTTTTTTTTTTTTTTTTTTTTTTGGGCAGTGTGATCAGAAGGTAAAGTAAAAGTTATTTTCTATATTCTATTGTTTGGGAGCGGGGACTATATTGACAGATTGTGTTCCCTTCAATTTATTCCTTTTTTTTTTAAACTTGGTCTTAAAAGGTTCTTTATAAAACCTGCTGAAACCTTATTTTCAATGTATGATGTTTTATGGTAATGTGGTAATACGTGTGTCTCTGCATTGCAGATGGAAGATGTCGCAGCGCTGGTTCTTGGAAAGTCTTTGTTTGTGAACTGGCCCCATTTGATGGAAGCTCGAGTTGTAGCTGTTTCAAATGGAGAAATAAAGTTAGTTTGTTTGTTTTATTGATATTTCTAAATTATTTGCTGCCATATGGAGTTATGTAGCTCACTCAAACTCTCTCTTTTAGTCTGTTAATTGTGTCTCACTTCTTACTCTGCAGGTTTTCTTTAGAAGAACCATCACAGGTGTTGTATCTGGGTGACACACCACCGCCTACTAAAGTCACCCATCTGACTGATAAAGAGCAGAAGGAGTGGGTCAAAGAAGTGCAAGGCCTCTCAGAGCAGTATGCTGCCCTTTTTATTCACATTATTTGTCATTTGTAATAATTGTATCAAGAAGACAAAACTGATTCAGTCTCTGATTGTCTGATGTGTTGGACCCAAAAAAGCACTCGTCAAATCGTAAGCTGCAATGTGATTATCTGAGTCTGATACGTGACTTGCATGAGTGAGGTTTTTCAGTGTGGCAGAGGTTTTTGTTTCATTGTGATGTAATGAATGGTCGCTGTGGTCAATTGCACAGTCTCTTCCTGTCAAAGTGGGTGCTTTTTGTTTGGAATAAGCTGCAAATTTGACCATACTTTATGCCTATAGGTTCTAGTATCTGTACGATATAAACTCATTTTTCATCAATCCTTAATCTTAGCTATGCATGTTCAGAGAATAGAAAGCTTTGCATATTTTTAAATTCTGCCAAGTTGAGTATGTATGATAGTTTGTGTGTCCGTATGTAAAATATTACTTTATCTGCATTTCAGCTTCAGCAAGCGCAAAGGCATTGTGATCAATGAGACCGATGTTGTGGTATACGCCCAGCTGCTGACAGGCAGGAAGTATGTCATTGTTCAGAGCGGAAAGGTCCATTTGGAAAAGCAGTTTGCCAAACAGGTCCTGCCCTTTCCATACCAGACTATTGTGAAGGTAAGTAATCACACCAGCCCAAATGTAAACAGGAATTCTAACCAAGATCCTGTTTCTTGGGAAAAATTTGAAGTTGTTCAGATGATTTAAGCATCATGTTGTTGTTTTTTTCACTTCAGGATATCAAAGCTTTTGATTCATCGTTGGCACGCTTCAAGACACTGGAGGAGCTGTTTCCCCCAGGAACCGTTGTCTTTATGGTTGGAAACCCATATTACAGTGCAATGGGAGATGTACGTACTGGTTTTTGTGCTCTCCAGACCAGCTCCAATAGTTAAATGCCAGTTATGAAGGATTTTTTTCTGTTTTCTTAGGTGCAAGATTCTAGTGATGTCATCAATGAGGGGCGGGTCAGAGTGGTCTTCTCTGTACCGTGTGAACCCCAGCTTGATGCCTTAATGCAGAACCAGCATGTAAGTCTTGAGTCTGTCAAGAAGCCTGTGCCCAGTATACATTGCACTATACAATGTTTGACTGGTTTGTTTTTTCTTCAGTTTTCTTGTTTTCACTGTTTTCAGATTTTACCAATAGTCTTTTGTTTTTGTTCAGAAATACTCTGTGAAGTACAGTCCCGGGTACGTGCTTGCCTCCCGCCTTGGTATCATCAGCTACCTCGTCTCACGGTTCTCCGGTAGCATCTTCATTGGAAGAGGATCCAAGAAAAAGTCAGTGGAATTCAAGTTTTGAATAAAACAATGCATGCTTTGTTTAGTTTATATATGATTTATTTCATACTATCAGTGTACTCCCTATACAGTGCCTTGCAAAAGTATTTGTAAAAGTTTTCGTTTTTTATTTTTTATATTGGGTTTACTGTCATTATTTTTATTTAAACGCATTGTATTTTTTTTATTCTGCAACAATGTTATGTATGGTCATCTAGGATTAGTTATCCATCTAAAATCATGATAAATTTCACAGGGATGCACAATATACCAGGATCAGAACAGTTATTGTCTGATATTAGAATTGTTTTTTTTTTGTCTTCTTCTTTTTTTATATACTGGTATCGGTCAATTTTGGATATTTCATTGTACAGCTCACGTCCCCTAGTTTTACATTTAGATTACTTTTGCCATCATCTTACCCCCACTTAAAGTTAATCTTTAAAAACACTAAGAATTTAATAAAGCTGTTAAATTCTTACTGTACATTATAATGTTTGATGCCTAAATTCACTTGCAGCGTTTAAAATTATTTTAGTTTTTAATGTTTGATTTTTAATTCATTCAGACAATATAGTATTGCATTTTATTATCAATAATTTGTCATTATCGGTCATAACATTAAAAATAATTATCAGTATAGGCCATACTTTTAATATTGGTTTATCCACAGAATTTGGGTTTGATTGTTTAACAGTATACATTTTTTCATTAATGAACAATATTAATTTTTTTTGATTGACTTTTAAATTAATCTTGCTCTGTTCAGTCCTCATGGAGAGCAGAAAGCCAATGTGGGCCTTAATCTCAAGTTCAACAAGAAGAATGAGGAAGTTCCTGGCTACACCAAGAGAACGGAGAAAGAGTGGCTCTACTCGGCTGCTGTAGAGGAACTCTTAGCTGAATACTTGGAGAGGTGTGTATTTGTGTTGGCGTTTGTGTGCGTGCTTGCGGTTGTACCTGTGGTTGTGCAGATATTTGAAAAACAATTTTGTCCTTGTCTCTCAGATTTTCAGAGCTGTTTGACTTTGTAGCACGGAACAGTCACGATGACGTCTTTTATGAAGATGACATCTGGCCAGGAGAAGATGAGAATGGGTGTGTTTTGAATCCGTTTTAGACAAGCATTAGTACGTAGAATGCATATCCTTTTGTAATATTACTTTATTATCAGAAGGCAATATATTTTCAGCGTGCCAGACTTTATAATAGTGACCGTTTATCATTGCGATGCTTTAAATAGTGCTGAAAGGGTCCAGGAGATCCAGGGCTGGCTGAAAAACCATCCAGTCAGTTCCTGCTCCCGAGCTTCATGTGATCTGCAGATCCTGGACACTGGCATTGTGGAAAAGATTGAAGAAGAGCTGGAGAAAACGAAGGTGATGATCACATCCAAACCTCAACAATCCCAGTAGTTGTTCCTGTCTTTCTGTTGATGATGTGTTGATCTCTCTGGGTCACAGGCAAAGAAGATGAACACGAAAGTACGGGTCACTGTGAAGCCCCACTTGCTTTTTAGGGTATGTGTTTGTCAGTGTTTATATAGTATATTATATGTGTTTGTGTTATTTATATGCATATAGACAGAGAGAGAGAACATTTGCAATATGTGTCTGTGTCTACAGCCTTTGGAGCAGCAGCACGGTGTTGTTCCAGATCCTGACGCAGAGTATCATCTGTTTGACCGTGTGGTCAATGTGCGAGAAAGCTTCTCTGTTCCACTCGGCCTTCGAGGAACCATCATTGGTATCAAAGGAGGTAAAAGTGTAAACCCAACGCTAGGGATGTAACGATTACCGATTTGACGATAAATCATGATAAAATTCCCCACGGTTAGTACCGTATTGGCCCGAATATAAGACGACCCTGATTATAAGACGACCCACCTTTTTCCAGATGCACCTTTTGGAAAAAGGCTTCTTAAAAACCAAATCTTGTTTTTTTTTTCTCAGTAAAACACATTTTGTCTTCAATTATTTTCATATTGCATATTTTTCCTATTTTAATTTTTGTTTTGAAAGTATGGTAAAAACTGGTAAACTGTACCAACAATCAAATTTTTTTTTTTTTAATACACTTTTTGATATACCATTAAAAAAACAAAACCGGTAGCCCATCTGAATTAGGACATTTAGGCTATCCATCTAATAGTAGCCTACCAAAATCTTATTAACAGTAGAAGTTAAATCTTACTGCAGTCTTCAAATCTGGGTATTGTGTTACGCTTTAAAATCACAAAGGGAGTTTGGTCGCGATCTTTACAACACGCATTTACGTATTTCATGGCACACTCATTTTATGCGCATTTGGCGCCACCTGTTGTTGTGGGTGTATTTTTGACATGTCAAAGTCTAGAGCCTGAATATAAGACGACCGCGTTTTTTCAGATGTATTTCCAAGAATAAACATCGTCTTATATTCGGGTCAATACGGTATTACCGTTTCGTATTTTAATTATCATTATAACCGTATTCGATTACCGTGATTTGAACAACTGATGATAAATAAATACTGTAGCATAAAGCACAGTTTTAATTAACAATCTCATGTGCGCACAGCATGCAGAATAGTTTTGTTTTGTGTGAAAAGACTGCAGAAAAGCTAGGAGGTTTTAAAAGAGTGCTAAGGGCATAGGCGCCGATCCCTGAGCACCCACGGAAAAACACGAGATAGTCTCCGTTCATTTTAACCAATAAGAAATGGATTGCAGCTTTTACGGCTTTATTCTCGTTTTCATAGTTCATTTGAAGCTGTTTTTGGGTTATTTTAATGGCAAATGTCAAGAGTGCATTATTTTAATACGAGAGGGTGCCAGCACGAATTTCTCGGCTTGTAGCGGGCTTGCTCTCCCATATATATATATAGTGATCATGGCTCTGCGTTGATCAGATATTGCGTATAGATATTACCTCAAACTTTGTCCTGTTTACACGCGAATAAGTGCTTATTATAAACAGGTATTTATTTAATCACTTCATAGAAAGAATGTGTGTATTATTTGGTAACTAATATATTTGCAGTCCGTGTGTTTCACTTCACAATTGGGCGGCCACCGGCAGAAACATAAATCGGGAATTATACAAATGAATACATGAATTAATTAATTACATGAAGTATCAATTACATGAATTGAATGAATCAATTATTATTTTGACTTAACCCTTTTTTTTAGTTAAAGACTGAAATGTGAGGTTTACCTTTTTATGAAACTTTTTCAAAGCTTTATTTGAACATTTACATTAGATAGTTGAACATGCTATTAGTTAAACGGTGGTAATGTTATTGTTTTAATGATTATGCAAACAAAAATCATTTTATTTGTTTGTTGATTTTAAATATAAAACTTGAAGTGATTTATGTACTTTTTGAACATTTCCAGCACATTTTAACAATACGGTGATAATACGGATAACCGTGATCATTTTGGTCACTATAATCGTGATGAGAAATGTTCATAACGTTACATCCCTACCCAACACAAACTTTCTTGCATCCTTCTGCATCTCGTTTTGTCCTTCATTCTTTGTCTTTCCTGTTCCATCAGCTGAACGTGAGGCTGAGGTTCTGTATGAAGTGCTGTTTGATGAGGAGTTTGCTGGAGGACTCACTGTCAGGTGCAGAAGTTCTTTCTCTCAATGGATGATGCAAAGTTTAGAAATAATATTTGTATTCAGCATGGACACGTTAAATTGTTAGAAAAGTAACAGTAAAGACATTTATGATGTTATATATATATATATATATGTTATGTTAAAAAATGTATCACGGTTGCCATAACATTTTTAAGCAGCACAACTGTTTTCAACATTTATAATAATAATAATAGTTTCTTCAGCACCAAATCAGTATATTAGAATAATTTCTGAAGGATCATGTGACATCAAGACTGGAGTAATGACTGCTGAAAATTCAGCTTTATCATCACAGAAATATATTACATTTAAATATATATATATATATATATTTAAACAGTTTAACTTTTAAATTTTTATAATATTGCACAGCATTGCGGTTTTTACTATGTTTTGTTCAAAACCATTAAAAAGTCTTACCAACACCAAACTTTTAAACTGTAGTGTATGTGAGTTTCAGACAGTGTTCTAAATGCATCTGTTCTGTGTGCAGGTGCTCTCCTGGGCGTGGCTATCGACTGCCCCCCAGTGCCTTAATCAACCTGAGCCACGGCAGCAGAAAGGAGCATGGCGCTCACAAACTCACTGCCATCGTCAAACCCCAGCCCTCATCCTCATCCCATTTCACACACAAGAGCCAGCTGGGAGGCCTGAACCACTCGCCATGCTCACCGTTTATACCTACGCAGGTAATGGACACGCATTCATCCCTCATAACCAGGCCCCCAACGACTCTACTGATACCCCACTAGCAAATAGGTCATAAAATATCCTACTTTACACTCCTTGTGCTAGAGTCCAATATCTCTGAAGCAGTGATTATGGACTTTAGAACAGGACTGTGATGACTTAACTCGTCTAGGACTCTGTACTTTTCAGTGGATTCATATGAATAGATTTTTAATGACGTAAGGCTAGATTTACTTTAGATTGATGTCACATTTTGGTGTCCGCAACAAATAAATTTTACAAAAATGATTTTATATTCATAGAAAGCATATTAAATGCAAGTAAAGTGTCTACTTTTAATATTTCAAATAACTTTTCATTTTAGACATTGTTTTATATATACAGTGGGTACGGAAAGTATTCAGACCCCCTTAAATTTTTCACTCTTTGTTATATTGCAGCCATTTGCGAAAATCATTTAAGTTCATTTTTTTTCCTCATTAATGTACACACAGCACCCCATATTGACAGAAAAACACAGAATTGTTGACATTTTTGCAGATTTATTAAAAAAGAAAAACTGAAATATCACATGGTCCTAAGTATTCAGACCCTTTGCTGTGACACTCATATATTTAACTCAGGTGCTGTCCATTTCTTCTGATCATCCTTGAGATGGTTCTACACCTTCATTTGAGTCCAGCTGTGTTTGATTATACTGATTGGACTTGATTAGGAAAGCCACACACCTGTCTATATAAGACCTTACAGCTCACAGTGCATGTCAGAGCAAATGAGAATCATGAGGTCAAAGGAACCTTCAGAGTTCAGGAATGCCCCAGAAACCACCGGCTCACTGGCAAAATAAGGTGAGTACTCCCTCTTACTCTGTGTGCTCGTGATCAGTGTTATTGTCATTAACTAAATAAAAAATAAAAACGTTTTTGTCATCAAAAATAAAATAGACGTAGAAAGAAATGTAGGTTATTTTATTTCAGTTAGGTGCAAAAGGAAAATTTGTGTTTAAAGTTTAAGTACTAAATTGAGTAAAATTGAAAACAAAACAAGACTAACGGAAGACTAAACAACAAAATTACTAAAACTTAACTCAAATGAAAATGTAAAAATATAAACTAATTCAAAATATTAATAAATACTAAAAGAGTACAGTAATGATGCTAAAATATCACTGGTTGTTATATGTAGTATATGTGACCCTGGACCACAAAACCAGTCATAAGGGTAAATTTTTCGAAATTGAGATTTATACATATTCTGAAAGCTGAATAAATAA